GTCAGGTCATGCAGAAACAGATGGTAATTCCAAAAATGGATATCACAAGAAAGATTACTGAATTTAGAATACATCTAATGCAACATGAAGAATTGATGAGGTAATACAGAAGTACCTTACATTCAAAACTGAAGGCGCGCCTGCAACTGGATGCTGTTTGTACACAACGAATATCCTGAAGACAAAAATTCACTGTACCTGAGTCAGCAGCCAATGATGACGAATTAAGATATTCTCCCCCATCTTAGAAAAAGGATTATCTGCAGAACCTATCCAGATTTCTTCAGTGCTCTGTCTGTTATGTAACACCATTCGAGCTTTCAAGTATGATTATCGTGAGCACCATATTAAAGCACTCAGAAGCTCTGAAGAGCCTCTCTAACAGTTATATATGAGGATGCTGATGATTAATCCAGGCAAAACCCAAGCAATACACATGAAGGAAAAACGTGCAGCCCAAAGACCTTATGCAATAGTGTAAAAGCATGTCATTTGGGTTGTGCTCGCATTACTGCATCAGACTGGAATTTTCAAATCATTTTACCCCCCTGAAATGGAGGGTTTGACATGAATTGTTTCTCATGAAAGATGGAGAAACTCAACCTGCATCCCTGTTGTTATTAATTAGCATTGTGCAACAAACACCTGGCGATCCTGAACATGATATGTTAAGTTGAAATGAGTCAATGCCTCTCAATGAAAAACAAATTTAGAAGCTATAAATGTATTGTACAAGATTGTTAGATCAAGAAGAAATCTTCTCATCGGGTGAATTCCCATCTTTTTCCCTCACATATTACATGAGCAGGAACAATTTCCCAGAAAAGAATATGGCTTTCGCCAAAATTTGCTATCAAACACAGAACTCATTGGTCCCTTTTGCGGGACTTATAAGGAAACCGGGAGGGAGGTGAAGGCGAAAATTCTATTGGAAGTTTTGGGGATTCCAAGTCTCCTGAGAGCACTCCAACCACCTCTTTCATTGAAGGCCGGCGAGCAGGAGACTTTTGCAGGCAGAGCAGGGCTACAGTGATGCACAGTAGAGCTTGTTCTTTATCCAAAGAATGTACGGATTGATCCACCAGATCAATAAGTTTTCCTGCACGTGCAAGATGACGTGCCCAGGATAAGAGATTTGCTCGTTGGAACTCTGACATTGGCGATCCGCTCACTTGAAGCGGTCTACGCCCAGCAATAAGAACCAGTAAGAGAACCCCAAAACTATAGACATCGCACTTCTCAGACAAGTCACCACCAACACCATACTCTGGTGCAATGTAACAAACAGTTCCTCTCATACTAGGTGTGCTGCTAATACCACCGCTCTTAGGAATCTCCCCACTAGCAGAGTCATAACTATTCCTCCGAGCCCTCCAGAGGTCCCCGCTAAGTCCATCCAACCACCAATCCATACTACTCTTACTACTCCTCCGACTCCGACTCCTTTTCTTCTTTTTATCAGAATACATATCGTCATCCCTAGGCCACCAATTCTCACTGTAACAGTCATCACTCACCGAACCTTGCTCTAACTTTTTCTTCTTCTTCTTCTTCCGCTCAAGCTCTTCACAGTACTCCTCCTTCCACCATTCCCTTGCTGGCCTCCTCTTATCCTTCTTCACGTTCTTGTCATCATCCAACGACACCCACCAATCTAACCGCCTCCGGTTTTTCTTCTTCTTCTGTTTTTCACTTTTCCCAACTGCTACAGAAGTTGATGAAGTCCCAATCCATTCACTCTTCGGCCTCTCTTTCTTAATCTCATTTCCAATCCATTCCATCACATAATCCTTCACCACCCCCGATTCAACGTCTCCATTATCTTGCTTCCACCACCAATCTTTCCCAGAAAAACTCTTCTTCTTCTTTTTCGCAATCTTACCCCCACCACTGCCCAATTCTCCCCCACTCTGGACACCAGTCCTATCAAAATTAGCCGCTAAAACACTATTCTCGTCCAAACCTTCCAGTGGAGTTGCCATTGCAGCCGCTGTTCTCGGCGAGACCACCATAGTTGTCTCCGGGGACAATTCCGCAGTCAGCACCGTCTCCGGCGAAGCCTCCACCGCAACAAAACAACTCTCTGGGGACTGTTCCACACCCCCATCACACCCATCACAAACACTAGCCGTTATCACACTCTCCGTCTCCTCAGCTACTGATCCATTATCCTCCACCGAATTTCCCTCTTTTTTCACCTCAATCTCAACCTGACCCTCATCTGATTTTAACCTTGCTAACCCAAAATCGCCAATTTTAGCATCAAAATTAGCATCCAATAGGACATTACTAGGCTTAATATCACCGTGAACTATAGGAGGATCACAGAAATGATGCAAGTATTCGAGCCCTTTAGCTATATCTAAAGCAATTGAAAATCTTTTTTTCCAATCTTTTAATTCAGCACACTTACGATGCAATAGACAATCCTGCAAGCTTCCACTAGCCATGAGCTCATAAACGAGCAGCATACGGCGTCGTCTCGGATCAGAAGAAAAACCCAAAACAGAGACGATGTATTTGGCGTCGATTCTCCCGGCTAAAAACAGCTCGTTCTGAAACTCGCGCTCGCCCTGTAGGGACCCGGAATCCATGAGCTTAACGGCTACTTGGATGCCAGGCTTAAGGGTGCCCCGGTAGACGGAGCCGAAGCCACCTTGACCGAGGCGAAGGGAGGGGGAGAAAGCGGAGGTGGCCCGGCGGAGGGAGGAGTAGGAGAAGCGGTGGGGAGGCTTGGAATCGGTGTCTGAAGATGGGACGGTGCGTTTGCGGGAGACTTTGCGGAAACAAAAAGTGCAGAGAATGAGGAGAGAGAAAGCGGCGGCGACGGAGCCGGCAAGAGGGGGTTCCAGGTGGTGGAGTGGCGGCGGCTGTGGCGTCGGTGGAAGTTCACGAGAAGGCATGATGGATGATGAAAAGTGATCGGAGTGAAAAATTGATGGGAATATACTTTTCGTAGATGTAATTAGTCACCTAAAACAACTAACTAGCAAGATTTATTAGGATCAGGATCAAGTTATTTAGTGTTAGAGAGGAGGACGAATTACTTTACAATAAGTGCCTCTTACGAACTTGAACTGCCGGTACTACTACTGGTGTGGTGGCTGGATCACTTCATAGACTTTTACAGCAGAAATTGACTCGGTTGACAACTTGGAAGTTGGAAAGTTGGAATTTGGAAAGAGAGAGAGAGAATGCGTTGGGGTGGCTGCCCGCTTTACACCCACTATAGCGTTTACATGTCCATTAAGGGGAATTTAAATTTAAAATCTGTATTTATATTTTACAAGTACATCCTTCCTTTCATTTTATTCATATCAAGTTTATAACTGTGGTGCCTTCTTTTTTTCAAGTTATATTTACAATTATATGAAAATTGTATTAGATTAAAATCATCATGGGAGCGTGATTAATAAAAATAAGAGTATAAATAATATTTTTAAAATATATTTTGGATGTTTAAAATTGCATTAATTTTAATCATTTAAATTTTGAAATTTCTGCCATCACTATAGAATTTTACCATGTTTATAAGATGCCTTATTTCGAGAGACAAAAAGAAAAAAAAAATCTTATAAGACGACTTGGTAATGTCATATTAGTACTACCATCATATTAGCGGCCAACCAGTCATTAACATTTTATAGAATACGGCGCGGCAAAGTTGTAAATACTTTTATTTCTTTTTTTTTTTTTGAAATGATAAGTGATTTTATAGATTATCAAAACTATATATTTGCGAGCAAAGGCTCGAGTGATCTATACACGCAGTGTGCTTTGACACTGAGGAATCCAAAGTTCCTCATCTTCGATTATGCCTATGGCATATGAGCTAATTCTAATACTAGCATGATTATATATTCCTTTCTTACTAAGTAAAAGGAGCACGTTTGAAACAACAAAATTAATTGATAAATGTCCTCCACCAAGGTTGCCCGTAAATACTCCTATTCCAATAGACTCGATTTGTGGTTGAAAATTTTCTTAATAGAAATTGGTAGCCCCAAAAGGGGAAAAATGCATTACCCGATTTGTAGTTACAGATAGACTAGGAGGTGGTCTCCGCGCTACGCGCGGTGGATCAATGCAATTATGCCCTAACTTGTATTGGTTATTGAGAGTTGGTGTGATGTTAGAGTAAGAAGAAGCATGTAAACTATATAGGCTATTAAGTTTAGATTAAGATAAATATGGAATGATTAAGATGAGAGTTGGGTGTGGAAGTGAAATAGGCTGAAATCATACAATGAAAATTGAAAGTAAGAAAGGGACAAATGTAGGAGAGTGGTATACTCCCCCTCAACAACCGCAAATAACACACACACCCAGCCCATAAGCGAAACTCACAGCCCAACCCAAAAGGCATGCTAACTTTCAGGCCACATTGAGAAACTTATGAGCTACACACACACACCACTCACAATCGATGGACTGGGTGTGTGTGTTATTTGCGGTTGTTGAGGTGGATATGGAAAATTAAGGAGAGTGGTATACATGATAGCTGAAAATGGTAGAATGGTCCAAGCATTAAAAGTTATAAATGGAAAAGCAGTAGAAATGGCTTGTCAGTTGTTGATGTTGATTCCGTTTATATCTAAAGCTTGATCCATAAAGTAGAAAGTGATGATTTCATAAATTGCATATGAAATGGTGGATAATGGTAAAATATATTGTGAAAATTTTGTTGGTTTAGAAACGCATGCTACCATATTTCAATGTAAAATTTTTTGGTAAAATAAAAGATAGCTATATATGAAGTCGGTGAACTAGTGCTAAGATGGATAACAAGGTAAATGTTCGTTAAAAGGAAATTGTTAGTGGATGTAAAGTTCAATTTGTAATTGATTTTTACCATTTTTTAGTATTTTTATTTATCAAACCATGTTTATTGATTAACCACAGAGAATAAAGGAAATTCATTAGTATTAATAAATAAGGATAACATAGTTTATGAATAATGTTACAGATACAAAAAGTTAATGAGTAACTGTAATAATAAATTGGCTAATTATAATAATGCACATGAAATACAGGGTACCAAGGGAAAATTATAAGGATTCCCCAGTTGTACCTTAAAAGACTACTCTGAACACAAAATGGAGTAGGTAAGTTGCGGAATTTTGAAATAAATCTCTGTCCATCAATTTCAAGCATAATGCCAAAAATGAGCACTTCAGACTGAAGGACATGAAGCATGAGAGAAGACCTATGGGACTCTTATAAAACTCAATTACAGAAGTTCTTACCCCATTGCACCTACACACGCTTCTCCACTTCTCAAATTCTGCTTAGATCAATGCAAGTCTTCTAACGTTTCGGAAAAAAAAAAGAAAGTAGGTAATACTAAAAAATAGCAAAACATCATCTTTATCTCTCATATAGTTGAAGTACTCTTTATAACAAGATTGAAGTATAAGATGCTACTGTGTGGCAAAAGCAAAAGATAAACATGCTAATTGCAATGCAATGCAATGCAAAAAAAAGCTTAAAAATGAGGCAAATTGTACTTACAACTTCAAGCATCTTGAGTTTTTGCAATTACATTGCTTCTTCTTCTTTGGAGTAGCATCTCTCAGCCCAATGCTACGCTGGTCTGGCAAATTGAATTTCGATCAATTTCGAAGCTTTTTCTCAATTAAAACTCCAAATTCACCAAAATTCAGTAATCATTTTGCAAACATGTTAGAAATAAGCGAGCACTTAGCTTTTCACATCACAAAAACTCCAAAAGGAATGACATAATTTTGAATATAACAGAAAAGAGCGCCAAATATTAATTAAAAAGCTTGTCAATTTCAAAAATTGAGAATCAAACTTACTTTACTTCCTGCGAAGTCGGCTGACGAACGATATCAATAAGAACTCTGGAACAATTCTCGGACAAACTCATATCCTTTTCCAGGAGTTTAAGAAGAAACAAAAACTGCCAAAACAAAAAGTAAAAAGAGGGAAAAAAGAACGAACATGTAACCTACAGCAAAAAAAAAACAGGTTGCAGAGTATATAATAGAAGATGGCGAAGAAACAAAAAACTGGTAGAGCAAAAAGCTATAAAAAAAAAAGAGAGAGAGAGAATGATCAGCTAACCTGAAACAATACAAGCTGCTGATATGTAAGAGAATATGACAAAGAAAGAAAGTTCCTTACAGCAACCACAGACGAAGAAAGTTGCATGCAAAATGTAAATGGGAAACGGGGGAAAAAGTTAGAACACAAGAATAAAGACTCAAAGAAGACAGGAAATTTAAAATAGGCTTACCTTAATGCAACGGCAAAATACAAAACACCCATAAACAAAGTAAAGCTGAGTTAGTCCACGAATGACCGACCAAAAAACAGCATTATAGATGAGATAGTTCAGTAAAAGAAAAAGCTCACCTGACCAATCTGTATCAAGAAGAGCAAAAACTTTTTGGAACTCAAAATCTGAGCAATGCTAGGACACTATCGGGAGATAGTATCAAAAGTGACGCAAGTTCTGTAGTACTTGAACGTCCTGATGGTTTTGGAGCTGCACAAATTGATCTTTTGCTCACAAGCTCAGGACACGATGTATCAATTGTTCTTCCAACTGAAGAACAGAATAAGATGGAATAAACAGCATTATAGATGAGATAGTTCAGTGAAAGAAAAAGCTCACCTGACCGATCTGTATCAAGAAGGGCAAAACCAAGAAGAGGCTTCGAAGGAACAGAGCAATAAAAGAGAAAATAAGAACTGAGCAAAGCAACTGCCAAAGACAATCATGTAAGAAAATAAGAACTGAGCAAAGCAACTGCCAAAGACAATCATGTAAGAGAGAAGATAGGATGTCGTGCTATAAACAATGACACAAAAAAGGAATGCAAAGAGTAAACACATCACTAACCGTTAGCATAAGCAGAAAATCCGGGCAACAATGCATGGCTTTACCGGCAGCGATGGGTTGGACAGAGCAAAGAAAGTGCTACAGTCAAATCAAGAAACTCCTTTCAATAGCCGCCAACAGTAATGGAATTATGTTTTTTCACAAATACAACCCAAGGGTAAATAGAATTTTACCTCTTGACATGAGCACGAAGAAGATGAAGAACACCGTAAAACCAAAACCAATTTCTTGTTATGGGTAAGAAAAATGCGATAGGAGGGCAAAATTGTAATACAATTGTCCTTCAACCAAACTGGATTATTACAATTACCACAATCAAGTCCCAATGCACCTGGGAAAAGGGGAAAGACAAATGCCAAAGCGGTCCAATAGGATACAACGAAAGTGAAGGCAAATAGTTATTATAATAAATTAACAAATAAAAAAAATGTAGCATTCTTTTAAAAAATATAATAACAACATTTCCATTCGGAATTTTTTTTGGCACAAACACATGCAGTTATCACGTCCAAGGACGACCACAAATTATCCAATAACGTTTTGCCACATCACAAAAAATGGAACGGTCTTGCCACACCCCTACACATTTAGTACATATGTGTTAATAACCCAAAACAGTTATCTATCTGTAACCATCCATCCAGAGACGGAGAGAAAAGGACCGAATCTACTACTTGACTGTTGTGATTTCAAAAACTACCTCTGTTAGTCCTATCATTTTTGTTTTTTTTTTTTATTTGACATAATCTGTTGGTCCTATCATTGAATCTCAAGTCTCTAAAGACAAATCAGTCAGAGAAGTTTGTTTGGGAGTATTCCCTTCGCATACTACTGATCTAACCTTCTTGCAACTTGAAGGATTCGTACTGCAAGTGATGAAGTCTGTCCAAACTGTCCATCGATTTCGTTACTGAAGCATCTGATGGCTACATTATTATTATTATTTATTTTTATTATTACTACTACTGCTGCTACTGCCAGTACAGGCGCTATTCTCGTTTGCTTTAGATTTTACAAAAATTAATTATAAAAAGTAATTATAGAAAATAAACAAACTAGATAAAATTTACTCTTTATTGATTATAAATTTTATTTTTTTGGTTATTAAAAACTTTAAATTGAATAAAAAATAAATAAAAGCATTATAATAATTTATTATCCAAATTTAGAATATATAATCAATTGAAATAATCAATCTCTAGTGACATCACTACCTATTGCGTTTGGATTGCAAGTTTTCAAAGAAAAAATGCTACATTTTTCGTGGACATATTTTTCAATCATCTTTGTACCTCACATATATTAAATTATTACAATAATTTTTTCTACAAAAATTTAAAAAAAAAAAACAATCCAAACAAGGTAAACTAGTTCTCTACTATCACCGAAAACTACGGTTCAGACAGTATAAGTTAACTCTCTTGTTTTTATTTTCTCGGTTTTATGTCACTGCAATTACTAGGATAAGTGAATAAGCTCACCCTGAGTACATTTTCCATGAGGAGAATATTATTGCTTTCTTGGCCAACTCAAAAAAAAAAAATCCACTGTATCGCAACAAAAACATCTAGATATATAAAGTATGAAGTGTGCAGGTGGCAAGAAAAAACAAATGAACAATTCTCTTTTTCTTTTCAAGTGCTCCCTCAGAAACCTTGGACCACCACATAGTCACTTACACTTTTTTTATACTCAGTGCCCGTCTTTATAAAAATTTCCAAGATGTTGTCGTTGGCTGACAAGCAACCAGGACAAGGGGAAAAACAACCCCACCCCCAAAAAAAAAAAAAAAAAACTCAACAAATTTAGTGCACAATGGCAAAGCTAAATCTGATAAATTAAGGCGAAACCAATCAAGCAACCATGGGCGAAGTAGATGGAAGACACAGATTGTCCAGTCGTTCAAGTCACACTCGGCAAAATAGAAAGATGGGATTAGTTGGGGGAGGTCGGTTGGTTTTTCCTACTTTCTTTGCTTTGCTGAGTTGATTTCTCATTTTCAAACTCCAATGCCTGCTGACATTTAAGAATTAAGATTACCGTACCGCATTGGTAAAGACACTAAACATTGAAATTTTCAGTTTCCTATGTTTGGTTTGACAATCCAATACCATGGTTTGGTTTAGTCAACTGAATCGAAGACCTTTTACAAATGCCGTGTTATCATTCTTTAATCAAGTCTTAATTGGGGGCAGAGATACACGAGGAGGAGTAGGTGTAAATGAGAGGTATCGGATTCAAAACTTACCACCTGTAATTGTACATACAAACGTTGCAGCCAATAAGTGTACCAAATTCTCAACTCGGTAATTTTTGGTAAGTCTTTAGTCTATGTTCATTTTCTTATCGGGTTTTTCCCCTGCCAAGTGATGATGGATTTTTTTTTTTTTTTTGGTGCTAAAGAGAATTTATTCCTCATTCTCGTTGCTCCATTCCCCTTTCTTGGTGGGTTTGTTTGGATCGAAGGTTATTTGAAAATTTTGTTTAGTAGTATTTACTGTAGTATTTTTTTGTTTGGATTGGGCTTTATTTCCCCAAATTTATTTGCTCACATCATCATTACAATTTCCAATACACCTTTTTACCTTCCCAATTACCTTTTTATCTCATATACATCACATCACAAAAAGTACTACAGTATAAATATCTCTAATAATTCACAATCCAAACAGACCAGTACGTGAGTGAAAAGAAGTGGTTAATTGCGTAAATAATTGTAGTGTATAATGTATTTAGATAAATTTGACCTATGGATCCTGTTCTTATACATAAAATAAGCACGTAGACCAAGTTTATTTAGGCGTTTTTTCTTAATCGAGTGTACAAGTGAATATGCATGGCTTGACATTCTTTGGTAAGAGGATTAACTTAGTGCTAGGTTTCAATCAAGCATGTCTTTTCTCTGTTTTTTTTTTCCCCATTTTTCTGTAGACAATTGACTGAATAATGTGTAGGATGTTTTAAAGGGAACCTTTTTGTTTTTAAGAAAATATAAACGATATATAGAACAGTGGGAAGTTCAGTCAAACCTAAAACCTTCTAAGATACATGACGCAAACAAGGCCTTACGGTTTCCGAGAAATAAAAAGGTGATAAAAGTACAAAATCTTGATGCACAAGATGGAGAAAAGAAAGCAGTAAAAGCAGAAAGAGACTCGAACTAAAGCAGCATTACCCAATAATATTGGCGGAAAATATTTGACTCCAATGCTGTAATATTCGATAGTTGCTTTTTCTATCATACATTGATTTACAATCCAAATCATCATTGATCTTCATTTTTTTTTTTTACCATCATTATATACCACTGATATCTGGGTTTTATATATACCACGTGATTTACAAACAAGTGAGAATTTACACAATACACCAATCTTTAAAATGAAAATAAAAAATACTCTCTGTAAGCTTTTCCCCTCTTTCAGCAGTCATTCCACGAAAGGTTCATCGAGGGAGGCGAACGAAAAACCGTACTGGCTAATACCTAGTTTGGGAATTTAGAATAGAAAAGAAGAGAAAGGAGATGTTAGAAAAAGAAAAGAAAGGACGGGAAATGATCCAAGTTTCTATATATGTTGTTTGGAAGTTTTAAAAAAGAAAAAAAGGTTAGTGATTTTTTTATTTTATTAGGGAGTTGAAGAGAAATGAAAAGAAAAGATACTCAAACAAGTTACTTTACAAATTTGCCCTTTTTATAAACAAGTGTGAATCAAATAAGTTGAGAGACTCATCGAAAAATAAAATTTTTTGTATCACAATTTTAAGGGCAATATTGTTACATTAAAAAATTCACTTAAAGCTACATGTCTTCTTTTCCTTTCCGCCCAAAGTTTTCCAAGACATAGAGGGAAGTGAAATCTTTCTAATTTTTTTCTCTTTCTTTTCATTTTTACTCTCAAACAATGGAAAAAAGTTTATTATCCTTTCAAAACCTTTCTTTTCTATTCATTTCCTTCCTCCCACACTAGTTATAAGAGTATTGACTATAGTCTACCAAAATTATCTAGAACGAACCGAAGTACCTAACAATTTACGAGCGTGAGAAAATTTGG